TGCAGCTGGGGATTGTTAACGACAATGGGAAGAATGTGTGTGTGTGTGTGTGTGTCTGTGTCTGTGTGTCTTTGTCTGTGTGTCTGTGTATGTTTCTCTGTGTGTATACTTATGTGAGTGATGTGGGAGTGTCATATATCAATCTGTTGATTTCATTGGCTGAGCAATAAAGAAACTGCTTGGCTTAGCTTAGAGCATAGATGGGAGGAGGAAACAGAATAGAATTCTGGGCGGAAGAGGAAGTGAGGTCAGACTCTGCTCTGCTCCCGGAGAGACTCGACAGCTCTGCTCTGGAGCAGAGACGCCATGCTTGCCATGCTACACTCTCCCAGGATGGACGAAGGCTAGAATCTTCCCGGTAAGCGCACCTTGGGGTGCTTACACACATCATTAGAAATGGGCTAGTCCAGGTGCGAGAATTAGCCTGTAAGGGCTAGAGTTCATGGGCCAAGCAGTTCTTTAAATGAATACAGTTTGTGTGTTGTTATTTCGGGCATGAGCTAGCCAAGTGGCCGGGGTGTTGGGGACGCAGCCCCGCCGCCGCTCCTATTTCAACATGTGAGCCTGTATGTGCCTGTGTCCATGTGTCTGTGTATATGTTTTCTGTATTTTTAGTGAGATAGCCAAGTACTTTTTTGTCTATTTAGAAGGAAAATTCATTTGGATGGAAATACCTTGTTTACAACTTGGTAAAGACACGTTGTTTTATAAAATGTAATTTAATTAGAATGGATGATGGAGAAAGAGGTGTCCTGGGAGAAACCTCACTCATTGGGTAACTTGTAGCTCTAATAATAACTAGGGAAGGTTGTGACGTAAATGACACAGGAAAGCCAAGCTTTGCGGCAGGCCTTCAGATTGGTTCATATAGCAGAAATCACCAAGACTGAAGTAGAGCCTTCCTGAGCACACTACTCAAGAGTGCATATATAGGCAAAAACTGCTCTTTTTGTTTCCCAGCCTCCTAGACCTGAGTAATCACTCAGAAACTTTATTAATTACAAAACTGTTCAACCAATGATTCAGGCATATTTCTAACTAACTCATATCTTGAATTAACCCATTTCTATTAATCTGTGCATTGCCATGAGGCTGTGGCTTACTGGAAACGTTCCAGTAGTGTCTGTCTCTTTTGGCAGCTACATGGTGCCTCTTTGACTGCACCTACTCTCTCTATATATCACTTATAGCCTGGCTATATTCTGTCCTACTATAGGCCAAAATAGCTTTATTCATTAACCAATAAGGGCAACATCTTAAAGGCTTCCCACATCATCTCCTCTTTTCTGTCTAATTAAAAGGAATGTTTTAACTTTAACATAGTAAAATTATATATAACAAAGCAGTTATCAAGCAAGAATTATAGTTACAATATTTAGTTCATTTACATTTGGCAAATTAAGGAAAGTACTCTATCATTTATCCTCTTTGTGAGTCTAAAGTTTTATATCTAATTTATCTTTTATCATAACTAAGGAAAACTATAACTGTTTAGCCTTCAATGCCATCAAAGACCCCAGAGGGATATATTACCTAAGTAAACAGGAAGTGCATTGTAAGCAGCTTTTAAAACTCTAAAGTTGACAGAGATATCTCCCTGCCTGCCTGGACCCAAAAGTTCATCTGTAATATTGGGGGCATCTGCCTTCAGCCTACATATCTGGCAGACTTTTCCATGTGGCAAGAAATTTGAAAGACTGTTTTGCCCATATTTGTAGTTTGTCAGTCACTTTCTTTTGTGTCCTTCAGAATGTCTGGCAGACTCTTTCATGAGGTAGTTACCCTGAAGGACTGTCTTGCATTCTTTAGGCAAGTTTAGCATTCATTTTTCTGTGGGTCCTGCATGTCCAGTTTATACAACATACCACCAAGCATTACAGGCAAGAGCAGTTTCTGGTCCAAATGGCTAGCCAATTCCATAAGGAGCCTCTTTGATGCCCATCATCCTCTAGAAGTAATTGGTGCTTTCAGGAGCAGATGTGTCTCATTGTCATAAAAGTCTAAGTTCTTAAAACATTTAAATGCCATATTCTGTAAATCTTTGAAAGGGTTGAAGAATACCTGTCCATTTGAAATATATCTCTGTACATTTAGAAAACCTAACTAACATGGCTACAAGTTTGACTATTATAAATGACCACCTATTAATCTGTAATTTTTAATTATATATTTTTAATGATATATATATAAGCATAATACTTTAAACAGGAGCAGAAATATATATACGTAGTGTAACAAAATTGATCTTGACTTTGTATCAATAGACCAAGATCCATACCAATGCAAAACATTAATTTCTATATCATATCCCCCTTTAAATGAAAACAAACATTTATAAACAATCATTTTGAGAATTTGGGTATCATTTTCTCCAATGCTTCCTGCTTTTTGTTGGGAAAAGTATTTTTAGAGTTTACAGGGAACTTTTGGAGGTTCTTGTTCTATCAAACCATATTAGCTTGGAAGGAATCCACAGACTCATTTCCTATGAAAACAAAAGCAGAACCTCTTTTCCAAAGCAACATATCCTTCAATTCAAATTTTGAAGTCAAGATACCTTTAAAATATATATGTTAGTTTAGCTTAGCAGCCCCCAGAATCAAATGTCTCTCTGCAGTCAAAAAATTTAATGAAATAATTTGCATAATTTAGACTCTGTATATTTTCTATCTTTACATGGCCTTTTTTACTCCTTTAATCTATGTCTGTCTGTTCTCTTTTATATTACGTTTACTATCTCTTTAAAGGCTTTGTTTTTATTTTTTTAAACTATTTCTATAACTGTCTATACTCTTTCTTTTTTTTAAATTTATTTATTATGTATACAACATTCTGCCTCCATGTATTCCCACACGCCAGAAGAGGGCACCAGATCTTATTACAGATGGCTATAAGCCACCATGTGGTTGCTGGGAATTGAACTCAGGACCTCTGGAAGAGCAACCAGTGCTCTTAACCTCTGAGCCATCTCTCCAGCCCCCTCTGTACTCTTTTTCTACTCTCTTCCAAGCCTACATACATTTTTTTGAACACACTGTGTCTCGTTTAGAGTCCTTTATGTCTGAATCTGTCCTATTGTGTATCTGAAATTCTTTTCTGACAAGGAACATTTTAAAATGGTAAAAGGTGTGGTCTCGGTGGTCCTGGATGCTGCCTCCGCCTCTCTCAACCTTTCAGTATGTCAGAGGTACCTTTACTGTCAGCTCTGGGATGGGCTGGTTAGGAGCCACACTCACCATCTCAACTCTGGGAAGGAGCGTGCAGCACGTGAACCCTTTTTGTCTGAGTAAAAGCTAAAACTGCCATGCAGAATGCTGTGCAGCCTAGAAATGTCTTTGTGTATGTTGGCAGGAATCTACCATGCTTTCCTGCCTGTGCACTCCTAGCAGACCCCCTCCAGCTGCTTGCCCAGGCGGGGGTATTGAGTGGTAGGCATGCTCTTAGCTACTTTCCTCCTAACCCCCAAGCAGGCATACAAGTACCCAGATCCAACTGGGTCACACAGGTTAGCCCCAAACATATGGGCACCATTTTGTTGAAGGAGACTGTTCTTTTGTTTTCTGGCCGTCTAGACCCAAATAATCACAGAAAAACTATATTAATTACAACACTTTTGGCCAATGATTCAAACACAAGAATCAATCTCACTTGTTTACACATTTCAGGAGTCCCAGAAAAGTACTACACTGAGAGCTATAGCATATATGCAGTGGACCTAGTGCAGATCTGGGTAGGCCCTGTGATTACTGCTTCAGTCTCTGTGAGTTCATATGAGGCATGCTCAGCTGTTTTAGAGAGCCTTATTTTCCTGGTGTCTTTTGTCCCTTCCTGTCTCCCTGACTTCTTCAGTCTCTTCTTCTACAGAGTTCCCTGATTCCCAAGGTAAGGGATTTAATCTTGTTTAGAGCTGTGTCTTCCAACGTATCTTTCTTTGTATAATGTCTGCTTGTGGGTCTCTGTATTTTTTCTATCTGCTGCAGAAGGAAGCCTTTCAGGTGATGACTGAATAAGGCACCAATCATGATTGTAATTATTATATCTTGCTTGCAGATGGCACTTTGCAGCCTTTCTCCCTGCCTTCCATTCTTTCTGCTTCTTCTTCCACTCTATGCTCTGAGCCTCAGAAGGATGTTACAATGTCTTGTTTAGGAGTGCAATTTAAAAATATTATTTATTGTTATTCTGTGTGTACACAATGTGGGGGACATACAAGTGTCACCGAGCTCATATTCTGGTAAGTTGACAATTTGGGGGAATTACTTTGCTCCTTCTCCTGTTAATTTCAGGTTTTGAACTCATTTCTTTCAGCTTGAGTGAGAAGCACTCAACAGGCATCTTCTCTATTTATTCACTGACTCTGCTACAAGGAAAGAAAAGTTTATCTCCTTTCTTATTTCGTCACTTGTTTCCATCAGCATTGCTTCTTTGATTCTTAATTTGCTCAGTGATTATAACCTATTATTGTCACTTTGTTGGGAGAAGATTTGACTAGTAAGGGACCTTCAGGCTAACCCCTGAGTCTTTCTGATAAGTCCCTGTCATTCTTGTAGCATTTCCTTACTCTCTGTAACAAACTAGTTCAGATCCATTGGTATTTCATGAGTCTCGGCTTTATGCCTTAAGTAGAGACTAAGGCTGTGTGCACATGTACATATGTATATGTTGAAAGAAGCTATACTGTGGAATATTATGTTTACTAAATCACTAGATACAGTATTATGAATGTGTAAGTGTTTAATGTTCTAAGTTCAAACACAAGTGCATTTATTTTACATGTAATAATCATAAGTTTTGACAAGAAAGAAATACATTTTTCATTTCACAGTAAATGGCATTACAGTTTTGAGCACTAAATCATCTTGACATTTATGAAGGAGCAAATGGAAAGTAGGGAATGAGTGTTAAATATAAAGCTATCTTTAACTGTTCTATTAAAAAGGCGAAGATTTATTTTCCATCTGTGAACGTGAATGTGCCTATTTGTGTTCTTGTTCACACAGTGGAATTTCTGTGGAGCCACACTACAGAGAGCATGTGCGTAGGATATATGTCAGCCCAGGATGGAAAAGCCAAGGTAAGCGGGAAAACTGGGTCATAACCTGAAAACCTGGTAGCCAGTGCGTGTGCTTCAAACCAGTTTGTTGAAACAGATGACTTTTCCACCTCTTGAGTAGAAGCCAATGAGCTTCGTCTACAGCACAGTTCACAGTTCCAAAGAAAAATCAGTAGATTTCACAAATTCTTCTCATGATGGATCAAGATGAATGATAAACCCACTTTCTTCTTTCGTTTTGCTCCTTTTTCTCATCTGTGAATACTTGTGAAGAGGAACCTCAGTATTTATAAGAGAAAATGAGAGCAAAGCTGACAAGCTGACCAAGATGTCTGACTCCTCAAGGAAGGTTGATACGAATAAAGGGAACTGAGGCCATGTAAGAGTAGCTCTGGGCTGTGTCTGCATCTTCCTAGCAGAAATGGCTCGCAGACTTGTGGATCTCACTTGCCCTGTTATGTGTCCACCCAGGCTTTGCCTCTCTGTGCCACATGACCTGCGTGAGTCACAGCAGTCATATCGTCACCCGGCATCAGTTATTGAGTGCTGGTTCTCCGTGACCTTAAAATTCTTGATCTTGGGAGTAAAAAAAAAAAACCCATAATTTGTGGATTTATTTTTATATTTTTATATATGCCCCATGTTTCTGTTCATGGAAGTTTTAGGAGCAGCTGTGCTTTATGACATTTATTTGGCATTAAAGCACCTCAGCTGCAGATTTATGAAGCTAGGCAGCCTCTTTTTTGAAAAATAACATATTTACATATTTGAAAATAGCAAATAAAGAAACTTCTGATATGTGTTGTCTATTACACATTGAGTAATTTAAAAAAAATAGAGAAAGTCAACTAAAGAGTATAGTGCTACAACATCCTGGCATTTTGAACAACAATAAACCACGTGTGTGACAGTGGACACTGAAGATTATGTTGCCTAGTGAGGTCATACTATGATGCGCACTCAGTGATAAAATAGCTTACTGACAAATTTCTCAGTTAGATAACACATGACTGTAGTTGATTGTTCATTTTTATTACAATACTACTCTGTAAGTATATTGCCTAGTAAACCAGTGGGGCCACCAAATGTCTGTGAATGTAGTGTATAGGAGCATTGTCACAGCAAGAGATTGATATTTGTGAAATATTGCTGAGCTCTCTCTCCCCTCCCATTATCTCAGCTTCACCTGAAAACCTTGCATTTTGCACCAGGAGACCTATTGCATAAGAGAATTTATAGATTTCTTTGCTTCATAATCTTTCTGAAATAAAATTGTAATTGTGTTTTTTAAAGCTGATTGGCATGCCTGGAGCAAAACCTACCAGCTTTGTCACAATAGTTGAAACATTGATGTCTGCGTCATCGAATAGAGCAGCCAGAGCCACGAGGTGAAATTATTGAGGATTTGAAATGTGGCTACTAGAACCAAAAAGCCGAATTTTAAACTACACTTAGTTTTTTCATAGCCACGTGTGGCTAGTAGCTACCATATCGAGCAGCACAGTGAACGAGTGGAAAATGGCTATTCAGATATTTCCAAGACGTGTCCAACAGCACTTTCTAAACAGGAAGCAAATCTAATAAGCCATAGGAGTTTCTTGTAACCATTTAAGCTTTCTCTTCCACTTTGAATATTGATCTTGAACTAAGATCTTATTTAAACAAAGGATCATGATGAGGTAGGCTTCAGCTCTGCGGTCAGTTGGGGGAGGTAGGGGCTGGGAAAGACAAGGGAGGTTTACCGAGTCCCTTGAGTAGAAGTGTCTGCTTTCCCTGCTGGTCATCTCTGGAAGACACTTGCCATTTAACATGAAAGCACAGAGACCTAAGTTGAATCTAGAGCTATCTGGCCTTCAATTGTGCTGTTTGGCATATGAGGGGTGTGATTTTAGTGTTATCTGTCAAGTTCCCCAGCTGGTAATGTGGAGGTAGTATGGATTGGGCCAGCAGGTACAGCTTCTCCACTTGTTTATTTGTAAATTATGTTTTTAACCATTTTCTTTTCAGAGAGTTAATCTCTCTTTCTTTATTGTTTGAACTATAACTATAAACGCTTTCCATGAAAATAAAACAAGCAATAAGACATCAACACATTGCTCAGTTCTATTGTTTGAAACAGTGGCAACACATAGAAAAACCAACAAATTAGTTCTTTTGTCAGAAATGCGGGGATTTTATGGTGTTGAAACTGTGACAGAGAATATAGATGAGACATGGGTTCAAAAGCCAAAAGGACTTTAGCAAAGTATGTATTCCAGTAAGAGTGGCAGCCTTTGCCTACCTAGTGACCTCACCTGGCGTTCCTGGCTTCTGTCAGGAACTGTTGTATAGGGCCCTCGTTGTTTATCATGAAAATGTTCTCTCCATAGTGCAGAGAGTTATTATTAAGATTGACAGGAAGCAGCTTTAGAGACTGTTCTTTTTATTTAAAACCTTTCTTTAAAGAAAAAATGTTCTATTTCCCCAAAATTGCCCTCCTTTTCCTTGTTACCAAACACAGACCCTAAAAGCACTTGAACGTTTTATATAAGGCAATGATGAATTCTTGTTAAAGCCTTGGATTAACACTCTCCTCAAAGTCACACTGCTCAGAAAAGGTAAGGAGTAACTGGGGTTGTGTTCAGAATCATAGATAATCTGAATGAAGGTAGTTCCTCTGTACATGTTTCTGTTTTCTTTTTAAAATCATGTTTTCTAAAAGATACAGCAAAGAACATCTTTGTATCATTTAACTTACAACTCCCTTCTCTGGCATGAAATAAATAGATTTATCTTTATGGAACAAACGTGAGCTCATTGACACTAGTTAGGTTTAAAAGTCGTACTGCCATTTTCTATAGTGACTGGGCAGTTAATGAGCAGTGTTCATAAATACTCAGTGCACATAGTCTAGTGCAATAAAACATATTTAAACTGGCATGGAGTTGATTCAGGCACATAACTCTCACCCTAAATGAATCAGGTTTCTTTTATATATAGAGGTTACTTTTTATAACAACAGTATAAATACTGTTATAAAATTTATTTTTGAAGAGGAATGGGCTATTTTATACTTTGAATATCTCTCTAGAGATTTATTATTAGTTCTGGGGAAAAAATAGTAATTGCATAATGGAGAAACAAGCAACACTAAGACTGTGTGTTCAGAATTAGGGTCACCGTCGAGGAACAAGCCAACAGTGTACGTGCCTCTGGATGTAACAGCCTGAGAAGGACGGCGTCCTTTGTGTCCTTCACCATTTGGAAGCACATAACATGAACTTAGTGACAGGACACAGACAGACAAGTCAGGAATGAAGAGCTTGCTGGGAAGGAAGAGAAAGGGGACGATGGTATAGAAAACTGTTAAATGTCAGAAAAGATAAGGATGGAGAAAGTGTTCCGGGTTGAATACTACTAAAGATATGTTACCAGTAAATGTTTTAATTCACCTTAAAGTGGCTTCTGTCTATAAGACCAAATGCTATAGTACATTTTAGGTCATTTTGCAAAGTAAGGCTTTGAAATTTGAAATATGGCTAGCAAAAAGAGTTGCGTTGTTTATAAATTTACTAAAATTGCTATCTGTGTTATGATTTATTGGGACATATCCATAATTTTAGGCAGCATGCCCTGAAGTATCTAGCAAGTGGGGACCCGTGTTTATAATCTTGGTGTTTCAGGAAAGTAGTATGTGAATAAAAATGTGGATAATAAATTACCAAGTAAGTGGAGCAAAATGCTGACAGCAGGTAAGCGTTGGCAAGTGTTACATGATACTTAAACTATTCGTAATGTTTTTGTTATTTTAAGTTAAACTGCTTCAAAATATATCACTTGCATGTAAGTTAGATCTGATCATTTTGTGAGCCTTGCTTTGTACAGTTCAAAAGTATTAGCCTTGCTTTATAACCTGTTCTGCATTGAATGGGTGCTACACTCCTCTAAACCGCTGTCTCGTTTGTTCTCTGGCTAAAGCTGAGAGGTGAGACTTTGTCACTATCAACATGCCTCACATTAAAGTGTCTTCTGGAAAATTACCCAGCCTTTGGCTTTAAATTTTTTTAGCTACTTAGGAAATATTTACTTGTAATATCCTCTGGTCTGTCTATCAGGCTGTGTTCATATTTTGACAGATGTTGCTCATGTCATTATTTCCCTTGGATTAGGCAGTGGTTTTTAAAAATATGATCCCTAAGCCATATGCAACACAAAGGAGAATAAATTATTTTCAGTATTAAAACCTTTGCTGCAATGGTCTTGTTAAAGAACCGAAAGACAGCCCCTAGAATAGGAATACATGTTTGTTAATAATGCCATTGGTGAGGTATTTGCCATCAGTTCAGAATAAACTTAATCTTGTAACTCAACAAGAAGATGCAAATAAGCATTTCTCCAGTTAAGGTATACAAGCAGCAAGTAAGTATATGGAAATATTCTTACTGTCTGTATTCATTGGGGAGCTGCAAATCAAAACCATAATTTGATTCTACTTCTCATCCAACATGATGTCTACAGGAAAGAGGAATAAGTTCAATGGGGAAAAAAGAGAACCTTCATGTACGCTAGTGGGAATGTGGAAAGGGTGTTTCCCTTTCTGAGAAACAGTTTTAACAGAATTGCCACATTACCCAGCAGGTCTGCTGCTTGGTATATATTAAAGAAAATAAGATGTTTGTTTATACCAGGGTGTTCATAGTTGTTAAGAAGTAGGAACAACTTAATGTTCATCGACTGATGAATGAATAAACAAATGTGTTGTATTCATGCAATAATTTTTTTTTGTAATCACAAAAAGCAGTGAAGGTCTACAATAGGATAGTTCCAGTGTTTTTGAAAACATGATGCTAAGTACAAGAAGCCAGGTGAAAAAGTTCAGACATCTCATGATTCCATTGCATTAAGTGTCTAGAATTGGAAAACTCATAGAAACAAATGTAAGAGATTGGTGGTTGTTAGGGCTGAAGTGGGGAGTATGGATACCAAGTTTGCTTTCAAGGACATGAAAATGTTCTGGAATTAGAAATTGTCCAACTTTACAG